CAGATTTTAAGGAGAGAGTGAACTGCCAGTGATCTTTTCTCTGCTCTGGGAGATGAACGTGTACCACAGATCCATCATGACATAAAGATCTTATAGACAACTTTTTTTTTTTTTTTAAAAAAAAAAAAAAAAAAAAAAATCGATGGATTTAGATCCTAATGGGTTTGGAGCCTGATACAGCTTTTTTGTTTAATACCTTGCTGCACGCTGTTGGAGTGGGAAGTCAGCTAGCGAAATCTGAAATTCATGCTTGTATTCGTGAACTGAATCTTCAGTCAGATCTGTTGGTTTTTCCTGGAGAAAATGAAGGCAAAGAGCTAGGTTCACTCAGCGGCTTGTGGGGAACCTGGCACTTCTCCTGTTAACTTAGAGGTGATCAATCTTCATTGGGATCAGGCAGACCATCACGGAAAACACACAGCCTGTTTGTCTTTGTTATTGGGGGCTTTGTTGCATCACGGGCTGGAGAAATTCCAATTTGGACTTTTGTCCAACAGATTTGCGATCGGATGGGGATAAGTTGATGACATTTCCAACCCAGAGCCATGAAATAGCATAATTATTGGGTCACTTTTGAGGAAACGGAGTCTGTGTAATAGACAAAAAAGTGTGTGAGGTAGTGGGGAATAAGGACTAAAAGAAAGATTGAGGGAGAAACAAGAGAAAAAGTGGAAAACTAAGGACAGGGAAGGACAAAAGAAAATCTGGACTCTATCATTTCATCAACAAGGTGGTTGTACTGTGTGCATTAAAATGCAATCATCCCGTATTGTTCCTCTCGCTAGACCAAAGCTGACATTTATTTTTTTTTCCCCTCTTTACATTTGAGGTTACGATGACAGAGAAAATGATCTCTTTCTCTGCGACACCAATACCTGTAAATTTGATGGGGAGTGTTTAAGGATTGGAGACAGTGTGACTTGTGTCTGTCAGTTCAAGGTAAGAAGATTGATATTTCATTCTCTAATTCACTAATGAGAATACAAATCAAGGATCTCCCTTTATAACCTATCACTTGGCAATTTATTTCTCTACGTGCAGGCAAGTTAGAGGGAAAACCTGGCAGCATGTGTAAAAGCTGGCAGGAAAACCAACTGGTGTCAAGAAGACATAAGTTTCTCTGGGAAAATGCAGATGCTGTGGCTTTAAATGTCCCTTCGGGTCTGTGGTTTCAGGTTGTGCATTTCTTATTTTTTGTCTCTGCCCTTTTAACAAGGATTTAGAGTCCTTTCTAAATTCATTTCTGATACAGATCATGGCTTATTGTATTCGGAGTTCTGATCTAGTTAAAGAAATGGATCTGTAATGTGCTTATGCAATATTTTCAGGAAGGGCTGCATAGTGACAATGCTTCTGCCTGTTTATCTGCCCAGCTGATCAGATTAGGGAGCAATCCCTCTGTTCCAAAATCATGGAGCTTCCTTTAGGTTTTATATAGTTTTAGGGGCCCTATTACTGAGTTGTAGGGGTTTTTCCTTCTATTTCTTGTCTCTCCTTCTTGCAGCTACATCTAAACCTCAGGCATTCTCCAAGTCAGATGGTTTCATTATGAAGGATTCCATTTAATATGTTTTAGCCAACTCACAAAACAGCTGTGCTTTACATAATGACCTGAATAAAAACTGAACAAATTAAAGGGGGTTTAAGCATGTACCAGCACGTGTTGTATGTATGTTTATGTCCCTTTGGTTTCTTGCATTTTAATGGGGATCTGTGAAGTTGTGGAACTTGTAACACTGATTTGAATGTTTAGAGTAAAGCAGGCCAAATAGTGCACAGTTCAAGATTGTGCACATCTGTAATGATTAATTTATTATTGAGCTTTGATAGACTATTTGCTTTGAAGCATGACAAGTACCGTTTATATTTCTAGAGCCAAATGTGTATTCGGAGAACAAACCCGAGTGATAAATTCCTTCATTTAAAACAAAGAAGGCGTTTTCTGTAATAAGACAGTTGTTTGATGAAGTGCTCGTGTTTCCCACTTTGGAAGAGAATTCATATTGACCGTGGGTTTTTTTAAATTCTATTTCTAGTTTGCGTGCAATCAGAAATTCAATGTGAGAATGCTGTTTTGAGCATTTGCCTTGGCTCAGCATGTGCAGTGATTTAAGGGTTGGTCTGTTTTCTCTTTCTAAGAAAAATGTAGTAATGCAGTGGAACGTCTGTGACTTGTCCCACTGCCTGATGGTAAGCTAGGGCAGATGTGCTGTGAGCGTTGGGAAGTTAGAGCAGCCACAGAGAGCGCTTGGGTCTTGTCTTTTGTCCCAGTTCGGTGTTGCCATTTGGCATAACGTGGTAGACTCATAGCCTAGAATGAGCAAACTCGGAGGCTGCTATCGACAGGGAAGGAGGTATTGGGAGTGCTGTTTTCTCAAGGTAGGATCCTGGTCCCTGGTGATTCATGGTACATAAAGCTAAGTAAACCTCTCTGGGCCGTGTTGTCTCCTCTTTGAGAGGTGAATGCTATATTTATGCTGAGTTGAGCACTTCTGTAGGGGGCAGCTGAAACAGATTTAAGGAAATCAGATAATTAGTATGTGAGTATGTAAATGAGATCAAAAGAATGAGCTGGGCAACTGTGGGCCAGATCACTAATAAATGGGTTGAAATCAGCAGTAATCTTTGGTTTCAGTGGCCTTTGGATCGGGCCCTGTAAACACTTGGAGCTCTTTATCTTGATTTGAGCCCTCTGTGGAGCCGCAGGGCTGACTGTGACCTTGGAGGGCAAATTACCTGTGGCTGATCCTGTGCCAGTGATGCAGAGGGCGGTGTGGTGCCGGGGGCTTCTGTAGTCAGACGCGTCCGCTTTGATACAGGCAGAGCTTGGGGGGATGTTAGCTTCTCTTGCAACATCAGTGGACAATGTGACAAGCCCAAAAGATATGCCACCAGAGTAGAAAATTAATTTCTAGTGCGGAGTCTGAGGCTGGCCGAGTAAGGCAGAGCTGGCCAGGTAATTTATGTCATGAGTAAGGGGGTCCTCCATCAGAATTCAGATCCCCTGTTTCAGTGACAGCTCTCTGGGGTGATAGTGAGCAAATCAATAGCAGACTCCTCATCACTATAATTACTTTTTATGTTTGCTCCAGAATTTGCCAGGGGCTTTAACTGCAGCTTGAGAGAATAGACAGGGCTGGAAAGCTAATTTTGCCTCCGTACTGTTGAAAAGTCCGGGGCTGGCCAGCCTGTGTCTTGAGGGGCTGGGAGGAGCAGAAATGGGGAGCAGGGCTGCTGCAATCTCGGTTTGGGTTTTTTCAAAACAGAATCACAGATGCAATGTGTCTGTCCGAGCAGAGTTAAAATTAATTTATTTTTTATTTGAAAGGGCGAATATGATCAGACTGCTCTGGAACACCTGAGTTAGGCTCCGATCCCTGGAGAGCCAGCAGGCGTGCGCTGAGAAAGGGATTCATATTGGTTGGTTCTCTTGTCGGGCTGTGCTGCAAAATGAGAGCCCATTCACTGACTCCTCACGATGAGACATGTATTGCATAGGAAAAGACCGTGTCCCGCTCCGATCAGTAAATGCAGACCTGTCCCCTGCTCAGGGCAAGCCCAGACCTTGGTGCTGGCAGGGAGGGAGGGCACTGGGTCCGTGCTGGCTCCAGCAGTGGGGCTGAGTGTGGGAGTACTACCACCCATCCCCTCCCTGCACTGAGCAAACCACCAGAAGGTGCAGAGCTGTGCCAGTGGGCGTGTGGCTGGAGGCATGGCTCGCTGGGGTCTGTACCCCAGTCTGCCCAAAGCCGTAGGTCTGGCAGCCTGGGTTCTCTTCCCTCTTAGATTTCATGAACGTATCCAAAAATATACTAGGGTATTTCCAGCAACGTTTCGTGTCTTTTCTCTTTAGTCACCAAGACTGTGGACATTCACTGTTCTTTATGTGAGGAAGGAGTCCTGTTTTCATGCATGTTGAATCCCTCACATGCTTCCATGTTTGTGGGGCTGGAACATCACCTGGCCAACTTGCAGCTTTAGGTTGTATTTCCAGAATATATTTTTGTGCTACTTGGTTCAAGACATAGGTGGCGTTTTGGGAGTAGTTAATCCAGGAGAGTAGGAGGAGGTCAAAACCTTTAACAGTGTTACCAGGAGGAGGAGTTACCCAAGTTGCCATTTTCTTTAGAAAACAAACCTTATGCCCAGCACTGACCCCAACACTTGCAAAGCTGGTTTGTCCCTGGCTTTGACAGTGGGCGCTTGAGGCTGGTAGTGCTGAGGAAGGCAGCCTTTGATGGATACTGGGCTGAACTGGATAACTCCATTTTCCTGCTCTACAGCTGTGTGTTTAAAAACAGGAATGTATAGAGGGAAATGGACAGAATGGAACTATGCTGCTGGTTTTAGTGGGAGTTTTGACGTGAATTTTGCCGAGTGCTTGATCAGCTCTTACTTGAGGGATGGAGAATCATTCCCACATCTAGGTCTTGGTCTCTTGAACCCTAAACCAATGCCAAAAATATGTCACTAGACTGAGGAAACTGACAATGTCTACCATTTTTCTAGTATTAGCAAGAAGTATTTTATGACCGTGAAGAGCTGCATGTACAGGATTCTAACTCTAGCAGGTTAGGAGTAATCTGGTGGGTAGCATCACAACCTTCTCATTGGTGGTCTTGTTTTCTTTCCTGGGTAACTTTACTACCAGTTTCCTGGTAGCTTTCAGAGCAATCCCAACTCAAAGCCAAGGCAGGACCCATCTGGAAAATCTCACTTCTTTTGTTCCTGGTGGCTACTGCCTAGTCCATCTGAATACTAGGTGTCTGAAGACAGTGGTGGGAAAAGTAGGCAGCAGATGAAGAAATACATCTTTGACCAGCACAGTTTGAGAAAGAAAAGGATGCATCACGACTGTGCTTATCATGTAGTACCCTCCACCTCCACTGGCCAAAGCCAAGTTTGATTGTGGCAGGAGCCACAGAAAAGATGAGGAAACTTCTGCCAGAAGAGTTAATCCTTCCCGGAGCCCTGGTGTCTCTCAAATGCATTTTAAAATCGCCAAGCTTTGGAAGAAGTTCCAGCCTAGATCATAGCAGCTCTGGCACTCGTTTCTATGGATCAGGATTTCACTCTTGATGCTGTATGCTGTTAATGTAGGGCTGTCTGGCCTTTCAGACTTGCAGCTGAGTCAGTGTAAAAGATCCTCACTTGCTCTGGGCAAAACCAGCAGAGAGTTTGCCACTGGGTTTCTTGGGAACAGGATTCAACATTGTTGCTACATGTAATAGAGCCTGTTGAGACACTTTGGACCAAATCCCTCACAGATTACTCTGGCAAAAAGTCCTGTGGGTGACAAGCAGATAGTATGTCTAAAGCAAGCGTGATTTGATCCTTCATGCTTTAAAAATTTTTACGTGATTGTGTTAATTGTCCGGTTAAGTATTCCAGATCAGCCTCCATCGACTGCTGTTGAGCTTCTGGATGAGGTTGGCATTTTCTGCATGGAACATTGCTCGGATTTGGAACATAATGGTGAAAATAGCGTAGAAACACTTTTTAATCAACTGTTTAAAATCTCTGTGTGGAGGAGCCTTTTGTTAAGAGCAAAAGGAGAGGATTTCTACTGTTGTGGCTGCTGGTTTGTTTTCTTGTTCCAAAGGAAGAGAGCGCTGAGGGTGGGCAGCAGCTTGGGAAGATTTAAGAAAATACAATGCATAAGGAAAATGTCATTTGATTTGGCCCAATCAAAATGTCACTCTGACCAACTATGAATAATTTCTTGGCAGCTGCTCTGTGTGGAGGCCTGCAATTAATGCAATCTATGCAATTGTTTGTGTTAATCACTTCTGTAGTCATTCACTTCGAAGCATATTTGATGTTTGTATCCTAGGGATTTCAGTCCTGCATTTTACATTGTGCCTGATGAACATACCTCAGACACTTTGTGGCATAATACAGCTAAATAGGAAGTATGATTTCTTTTTAATTTTTACTTGGATTTAAGCAGAGGTGAGAATTTGTAAATAATAATTGTGATCATTCCATTTGTTATAATTAAACAATGAGGCATACCAGGAGTACGGTAATCATGAGATAATCATATCCCTGGTATAATTACCATGTACAGGGTACATCCAAGTATTTCTAAGCCTCCGAGTGTGATTATCTTACGATAACTGCACCCGGTAGGTTGCCTAATTTTCAATATAAAATGGAATTATTTTTATTAAAATGAACAAGAGAGAGGGTAAAGCTGTCTTTCAGTGGTAGAAGGAACAAAGCGGGTAGTTTGCAGAGCTGAGCAGGAGTTCAAGCCAAAGGCAGGGTGCATGGTGGGAGTAACTTCTGTGCTCCTTGGCGAGATGGCTGCGGTGCTGCCGCTCCTGCCCTCTGGCCGCCGCAAGGAGAGCTTGGACCTTCGTAGAGCATCCCAGCTGCAGCTTGCTGGGAACAGAAATGTCTCTTCGGAAAGAGGGATAGGTTTTGATCTTAGGTCTCTCAGAAATCACTTCCCTCTGTCCAATCAGTTCTAATTATAGCTAAGAACTTAGAGAGTTATACACGCACGGGCAGACACTTCTGCGTATGCAAACAACTGTCTCTAGCAGTGAGGGTGTGCGTGTATGTGCAGGAGGAGAGGAAAAGCCAGCCCTTTTTACAAATTGTTTGTTACAATTTGTCTGTAGCCATCCAGTGGAAACACATGCGCTGCTATTGCAGATGTGAGGAGCTGTTTGCCTTGCCCATATGCCTTCTCCGGGAATTCCCCGCCTTGCTCTCACAGGCAGAGGCATTACTGGGGGCAGTTATTGAATGCTTTGCCCATTCAGATTATGTTTACAAAAATCCCCCTTCCTCTCCCCTGGTAGCTGTAAAGGTGAAGAGAAGGCTCAGTGTCTCTCGGTTGTTTTCCTGGGGTTTTAATACTGGAAGGGGGTGGGAGGGGCACCCAAATGGATGCTGTGCCACCCCACTGGTGTGTCTAACGCTGCTGCTCTCTGTCCATTCCCATCAGTGTAACAATGACTACGTGCCCGTGTGCGGCTCCAACGGCGACACTTACCAGAATGAATGCTACTTGAAACAGGCTGCCTGCAAGCAGCAGAGCGAAATACTCCTGGTGTCCGAAGGGTCGTGTGCGACTGGTATGTATAATGCACTCTGGGATGCCTGCGGACCTTTCCGTGCCCCTGGATAAAATAACCTGTGGATGGCAAAAGCCCTTTGAATCCCTGCTTTGAATTCTTTGCATGAGAAGTTGCTGCCATCCTTCCCTTTCAAGTAACTAATTTAGCATAGGCTCACAGTCTACCTTGACACTGTTTGGAAGAGCACAGCACCGAAGTTGATTTCTGTTTCTAATATGTGTCTTATGCCCCTGACCATCGTGTACACTGCATAAACTTCTGAGCTGTTACCACAAGTAACTGGAAGCAGATTAAATGAGCAGATGTCTGATAAATGGGCATCTGGATTACCACAAACCTCTCCATAATCTGGAGAGATAGAACTGGAGTATTATTGCCTGCAATCCAGTTTCTTAGGTTTTTCCTTATGCACGTAGGGCCAGATTCCCAGGTGGTATGATTCAATAGACCACCGGTTGTAATGAGCTCTTCCAGTTAATACCAACTGAAGATTTGGCCCAAAACGCATTTAATGGACAAGTCTGTGTAACAGGGTTTTTTTCTGGACTTGTTGAAAGAATTCATTAAAGAGCATATGTGAAAACTGACTGGCATTTGAGTCATCTTTGCTTAATTCTGAGCATTGTGAGCTATTTGTATCTGCTTTTATGAAACGGCTAGAAAGGTGAATGTGCAAAATCACTCAGGAAAACTGAGTTGCTTATGTGCAGGAGTTCTTGATGTTTTTCTTTTGTGCTCAGTATCTGTTAGAGGTGGGCAGTGCAGTTAACTTGAAAAGAGCAGGAGGAGTAAGTCTTTGTTCTTGAGAGAATTCTTTAAACTTAAAGCAGAAGTTTTCTTGACTGAGGATGGAGGAGTCAATAAAAAGTGCGTTAGACAAACTTTTTGCAGTGCCATAATTTTGTGTTTTGTACACCTGAGAGAAAATAAACTACTTTCCCTGGAAATGTTGTTCCTCTCTGAAGCTGTTACCTGACAATTTTCAAGAGGGGAAAAAACACATGCTGCAATTTTTTTGTCTATAAATTGTTATTAAATGGAGCTCAGACTGATAGAGCCTATTGTGGCATAGGATTTGTTCAACTTAGTAAATTCTCTCAGCACAGCAACTGGTCTTTTTTGGTTCAAACTTTTTGATTAAAGGGATGATTTTAGTGCGTTGCTACATCTTTACTTTAACCTGCTCATCTACTGGCAATGCCCATGTTGGAAGCGTTCTCTCTGAAATACGTTGTGGATTTCGGAAACAGAGAAGGAGAAGAAAAAAAAATGGGGCTTTCTTGAAGTCTTGACCTTTGACCTCTTTTTCCTTCTCCAAAGGAGGAGGCTCAGCATAGAAGGGAACAGCCATGTACCTCAGGTTTTCCCTGTGGAAGGGGGCAGAGAGAGAGTGCACAGGACCCCCAGCAGAGACTTGGGCTGCTGGGAGGTCCAGCAGTGAGCAGCACCCCTGGCCGTGACTGGCAGGAGGAGAGACATGAGGTCCTTTTCTCCAAAGAGTCAGAGAACATGGTAGTTCATTGTGGGAAGCAGGTGACAGGAGGCATTGGTTTCCTTCTCTGTGCTGGGGAGACCTGGCACACCTGGAAAAGCAGTGCTTCCCAGAGCCATGAGAGCACTGTAAGGAAGATCCCTTGCTTTCCTCTTTCCTCAGTTGCTCATTTGGGAAGGAGCATCAGGACAGAAAATCAGATGAGAAAAATGCAGAAGATGGTCACTGGGAAAATGCCATCATTTTCTGTTCTATTTTCCAGCCCCCTTTTGCATCTGTCCTGTGCTGCCATTCTTGTGACAGGTTTATTTAAATAAAGGGTTTCTTTTTTTTTTTTAATTTGGAGCAATGATGTCATGTACAAGCCACAAGACCTTGCTATATCAGTAAATTAGATCTAACAGTTCAGAGGGTAATTGGATCCCAAAGCAGCCCTTCCAAACTCTTTCTGTTAATCTTGATGTTGATAAATGTTTAACCCCTCCACTAAGGGGGAGGATGGGACAACAACCACACTACCTTCCCAGCAAAAGAAACTCCTCTTACAGATTATTTTTGGTAACCGTATATGTGTGTGCAGTTCTGTGCTTTTCCTTGCCTAGAAAGTTTCATAATGAAGCTCCAGGCTTGACAATTTTGTGATGCTGCGCTTTCTAAATTTGTGACTCTCGTCATTCCAGCCAACAAAACATCTACCAGAAGAAAAATAAAGATAAAGCAATCAGTTTTGAAACTCAGCAATAACCTCCAAAAAATTTATCTAAAGACATTGACTGATAGTAATTTTAATGGTTTATTCCAACTAGTTATGATCTGATGAGATGTCACTGTCTTGTAAAGATAATGACATGAATTTTCAATTGGTATGGCCTCAAACAAATGGGTTTAAAAAATTCTCTTTGATGGTGAGGGTTTAGTAGTGGCCAAGTGAAGTAACTTTGCACAACTGTTGGGGAAAAAAGCTTTATCACTCTCAGTACAACAAAACGAGGCAGAGGCTTATGAGGACATTACAGCACTCCAGGGCTTATGTTATTTTAGTCTGACATAGAGACTTTAAAGAAAAAGAGTTGAGACATGAAAAAGATGGTTTGAGTGAACTATGTTCAGATTAGATCTCTATAATTTACCCAGAAATGACATCAAACATAAGGTACACTGCAGTACACTTAACAGTCTTGCTTTGCATGCTTAGAGGACATACTGTAGCACATGAATATAAATTTCTTTCTGTTCTTTTCTCAGATGCTGGCTCAGGATCTGGGGACGGAGGTAAGAGTCATCTTTTAATGTCTCTGTTCTTATGTGTACACACATTGTCTTTCACAATTTCAGATTGTAAGTGGATATGCTTTGCAGTTTAGTTGTTACACTGCATACTGTTTTTCATTTAGCTTTTTCTCTGAAAATAAAAGTGATATTTTGCTTTTTAGTCAAGCTGGAACCTGACAATGACATGGTGTTTTCTAGGGAAACTCAGAAAGCTGTGTTACTTCTAATAGGACTTGGAATTATTCATAGGTTGTGCTAGGAGCTCTATCTCCATCTACTGTTACAATTGCACTCATTTGTTTTATGTTTAGAGTAATATTTTTTTCTGTTTTTAAAACATGAGCCAAACCCTTGGCTCTTCCTCACTGGAGGATTCAAGCCAAATATTTTGTGGTAACGGAGAGCATTCTTTCAAAGATATGAAGAAATGCCACAGGGAAGGAACAATGTTTTTATAAGAACAACAGCAGCAAAAATGAACATGGAAACAGTCCAAACTATTTGCTGCATACAGGGGATACTGTAAAGTGTAGGCAAACTTGCATTTAAGTTTGGGATTGGTTTTTTTTTATTTCTTAGGTGCAGTCATTTATGGGTTTGCTGGTTTAACACTGGTCCTAAGGGTTGTGACTGATCCTTCTTGGAAGTAGAAGTGTTGGGTCTAGGTAGTGCCCTTCCTTGGGTCAGGAAACATGACTTTGGGGAGCTACTTGAATGCTGGGGCTGGTGGGTCAGGCTTCTCTTGGAACTAGGAGGGCCAAGGATAGTTTGGGTGGCTGTGGAAGGTTGTCCTTAAAAATTACCCTCCTTTCTGCCCAGGCTCCCTGGGTAAGCTCTAAGAGCTCCATAGCAGGGGAAGGGTGAGGTCAGCATCAGGCTGGGATGCCGCTGGGTTCCTCTGGCTGGGCCAGCCACCAGGAGCTGAGCCAGCTTTCTGCATAAGACACGGACAGCAGGTCTGGGCTCTTACGCAGTTTTATGCCTGGTCCTGGCGGGATTCAGGTTTTTCAAATGCAGTCCCATTGTTTGGTAAAGTATCACCTAGTCCTTGTGTAGTTTTGGTAACCAGTATATTGGAGAGTGCAGTGTGTAGGTAAAGATTATTTTTACCTATGAAGTGGTCAACAACATGAGCATGAGGCACTTGCAAGAGACCTAATTTTCCAATATTGGACTCATTCGGCTTTCTGGAAATCAAGACACATTAACATGCTTCAAATCTGATTTCTCAGAAACTGCAACCTACAATATTGTTGTTTTCAAAAATTTTGTCCAGATATTCCTATTTTATTCTAATGTCCTTTTAAATTGTCTTTTTAAACTGTTCCTTATTCAGTGCTTAACAGAAATCCACAATTAATTTTGTATTTATGATGATGATGGGGTTTTCACACATATGGTCAATAAATCAGTTTTCAAATGGAGCTGCACAAAATTCATCATGTATGTATGAAGGAAAACACATAAGATTTCCAGTTTGTTTTATAAGTGGGGAGGTGGGGAAACAAACTTGGCCACTTTCTAAAAGTAATGAATTCCATACTCAAAAAGCATAGGAATTTAAAAACATGATTTCCAAAGAGTTTCATTTTTAAAAGCTAAATTTGACAAAAGGTGATCAGAACAGGACCTTAGGGACTGACTGGGCATGATAGTAAGGAAGCAGATTTGCGAAGGAGACAGAACCAAGTTGGTGTGTGTGTTTAAAGGTCTACAAAGCTGCCTTGTATTATTGGAGATTTAGTAGGCAGCTATGGCTGTTCTTAAAGTACAAAAGTATATTTATGTGTCCTAAGAAGCTAAATCCAGCCAAGTAAATGTTGTCACTACATCACTCTTTATTAGACACAGTCTTGTTGTAAAAGCTGTAATAAATTTTCAATGTCATCACAGTAAGTCTTGTAAAATCCACTCCAACAATCATGAGTGGGATGTTTTTCTATGAGAAGCCTGAGGTCTTAGGCAATCTTGTGTGTTTTCTGCTTCTGTGAAAGTTTTCCTTTCTTATGCTTCTTCAAGCAGTCTAGGTTTACAAACTGTTAACCAGTCCAGCATAATTTTTTGCAAAACTACAGCCATAGGGACCCTGCCAGCTGGCCGTACCTCTGCCTAAATCAAGCAGAATGGGGCTGTGCTGGATGCTGAGGTATTGTCAGTGAGGTACCTGAGGTGTCTTGGACTCTAGGAGCCCCTAGGAACAGCCATTCTCTTGGTGATTTGCTGCGTTTCTTGTTGCCATTGGAATGCTGGCAGGACACAGGTTTGCGCAGTGTTGCTGTTTGCTCTGTGTTGCGTCTGTATGTTGTGTTTTTCAGAGCTGGCAGACTTTCTGGCAAGACTCAGGTTTTTGTGACTGTTGTGGTCTCTCTTTGGGAGGTTCCTTGCAGCCAGGGAGATCCAGGCTGGGAGCCCTGAGGGGCTACTGTGTGCAAGATTAAGAGGCTCTGGTTAAAAAGACACAGTCGGTGGGACTTCTTGAAGACACATATAAAGGCGAATTCTTCAGTCTGAATTGCTGAGAACTGTTCTTAGCAGCAGGAATCTCTGCCTCTCAACACTTGTAGGTAGGAAAGGATGTTGCTTCTTACCAGAGTCTCTCCATATTGTTTCCATGGGTTCTGCTAGTGGGTTTGTGTATCACTCTGCAAGCTGTGAGATGAGGGAAGCAACGGAGTTCTATCTTGTGGTCAGATTTCCTTGGTCTGATAAGGTACACATCTAATGGGAAATTAACTCAAATTGTGGACTAGTAGAGGACATCATGTTTTTCAGGTTCTTAGAACATGTCAATTTTCTTGCTTTGAGGTGGTTTCCCCCATGACTGACACCAGTTCAGCTCTCAGTACTGTTTCTCCCTCGATGGATATCTTGTCACATTAAATTAGAATTGATTAAGGGTTCAGAAATTGCTGGAAAGGGGTTGGTGCAGTGGTCAGACATACACAGACACACAGTGTGGTCATGCAAGCCTCATTTTCTTAGGAAACTGGACAGAGCAGGAACAGGACAACCAGGGGCTGTGTTTTGCCTGCCATGTTTCTCTTCCATGTGTTGCTACCTTGGTTTTTGCAAGGAAGTCTTTTCAATTTATTGTTTGGAATTTGGGGTTTTCTGCTTTCCTGTCAGGGATGCTGGGATCACAGACGTCTTGGCTTCTTAGCACTTCAGAGATCTTGAGGGTTTTCCAGAGGTGATTTTAATTTTTTTTTTATTTTTTTATTTTTTTTTATGCAGCAATAGCGTACAAAAGTCCCCTTATTTGTAAAGTGATGGAGAATTCTTAATCTCATTTGATTACTGAGCCTTCAGCAGGCACTTTTGGGCATATCCAGTAAATGGGTAAGAACAGTAGGTGTTCAAGTTCCTTACTGCAGAAGACATTTTTCCCTGTAAATGAAGACTAAAAATGCAGAATCAAGAGCCGTTTCTGTGTTTTGATTGCAGAAGCGAGGAGTATGGTGTGGAATTACTTAAAAACCCATATCCCAGAAAGATACTAATCAATGGCAGAAAGAATGAATGTGAAAGAGTTTATACAGAGAGTAATTTAAAGAGATTCCATTCATTTTCATCTACGCTGTTCTCTAGACAACTGGGTTTTTTTAGAAGCCAGTGATTCATGTTTTGGTCTTGAGCAGCTTTATAATGAATTCTTGCTCGTTTCCTAGCTTCCTTCAAACAGCGACAAACTCAAGATGCAGTATTTCATTATAGCTCTTAATGTGCTAAGAACATCTCTCCTTGGTTTCTTTCTTGAACACTTCTTTCCCCTCCGTGCATTATCTGTATTCTTAGCTCAGTTGATTGACTTGCATTCATAGTCCGATGGATTTACTGTGGGTGACTATCGCACTAGGTGTTGCTGTGATCCTCAGCACGGCAGCACATAAACACCTACGTTGAATTAGTTTCAGAGCCTCATTCAATTTCCATTCAAGACTTCAGTGGGAATTGCATGGGGCCCCTGGGTACACAGATCTTACCCTAGTTTGATTTTTATGTTAATTCTTTATGATCTAGACTAAAGCAGAATAAAGAAAGAAATCATAATTCATCAATATCATTGTCACCATTTATTTTATAGTAGCATCTAGAGGCACTAATTATAAGATTAAGACTCTGGTGTGGTACACCCTCATACTGTGAGGCACTTTTTTACAGTGAGGGAGAGAAAATATCTGTGAAGTAGAGCCTGGATATCAGAGTTGGGCAAAGCTGGAAGTCACACCACACTTCAGCAGCCGAATTGGGACTAACACATGCTGCTTTCGGAGCCAAACCTGCGCTGTGTCCTTTGAACCACGCTGTTGTCAGCAGACCCATATGTAATCCAGAAAGAATCTGAGATTATACTGCTTTTAATATTATTCCTAATTTTTTAGACAAACCTGGAGATCAATAACCTTACAAGCCATCTTCTTTTCCCCCTTTGGTCTGTCGCCCTCATTTTGTGTGTGTATTTTAAGGATGAGAGTGGCTTTGTTTATTTGTTTGTTCTTTCAATTTATCCCTTCAATCTTATCCAGAAAAATTGAAGTCCTGCAGCTCTTTGTAGGTGCCAACATGTAGATTTAATGATAGATTTGGAATTCTGGTCTGCCTTTCCTGTTGGCTTAGAGATGTGTAAGTAAACACATACATAATATAAATCTGTGTGGAGCAGCAGTCATCTTGAAACATTAACTCAGAGAAAATAGGGAGGAAAAAAATTAACACTTTGAAGACTAAATTATTTTTTAAGGCAGACTATAATGCAGCACATGTATCTTTCTTTAATTGACAGGCAAATGGCTACTTTGACCCAGTTGCATTTGTACTTGTCTCCATGCTGGTTTTGTATGACTGACTTGAATTCAGCAGCTCTGCTGCTTTTCCACTGATTTCCCTTTCTGCTTTATTACAGTGTTGATTGATGGGCAGGGCTATGCAGAACACAATGAATATTGCTGTAAACACTGTCCTAGCAATAACACTCGAGCCAAAATACACCGTAAAAGCTG